CGCCCGGGCTTCTCCTCCTGCTGCTGCCGCTGTGACTGCCCGCTCGCGCTCTGCCGCGGCTCCGCCAGGCTCGCGGCAAATAAACAGCCGACGCCTCCCCTCGCCATCCCTCCACACACACACCCCCTCCGGAGCGCGCATGCGCCGTGAAGTACGCGGGCCGCTTTCCTCCTCCTCTTCCCCCCCCTCCTTCGGCCGCTTAAAAGCTGTGAGAACTTGTCGGGGAGGGGGAGTCGCCGGTTGCCTCACAAGTTGTCTCTTCAGCTACGCTTTCCCTGAACAAATGTCAGATCCCAAACGCATAGGAACGAATGCAGCTTAAAAAATAAAGTACTGTATCTTTTTTCCCCCTCCCAAAGGAAAGAATAAGCCGTTCCAGAAGTCTCCAGCAGGCTAATTCCCAAATAAGTATCAGCTTTTAAGGATAGTTTTCATCTGATGAAGCCACACTATTACAAATGTATTCGATTGCAACCTCTCATTTTTAAATGTAAAAAAAATTCTGAAACCTAGGAATGATCATTTTTAATGCCTGAAACGTCCTCATTTAACACCGTTTTGTATACTCCATGGCCAGTTTTCTGTTCAGTATTGGTAGGGGCAGTCCTTGTTCATTCTTTCTTTTACTTTCATGCCAGTTTGGACCTCTGTGGACTTTTTACCCATATATGAGTGATTAGGAATAAAGGCAAAAGAAATATGAAAAAGAAAGAAGACCAAAACGTTGTGGCTCCTGAAAGAGTAAAGACTAACTGTTACATTAAGAGGAAGCCAGATTTCAGCTGAATATCAGGAAAAACTTCCTGTTAAGAGTAGTAAGACAGAGGAACCCATTACCTCGAGAGGTGGCGAGTGCTCCAACACTGGAGGCATTCGAGAGAAACTTAGACAACCACCTGCCAGATATCCTTTGATTTATATTCCTGGATCGAGCAGGGAGTTGGACATGATGGCCTCATAGGCCCCTTCCAACCACTATTCTATGATTTTAATGTGAGCTTTCATGGTCAAGTCCACTTCCTCAGGTGGACTCAGACAGGAAGTGGATTTGTCCACGAAAGACCACATTAAAATATAGCTGTTAGTCTTTAAGGTGTTACAAGTTTTTGATCTTTATATTTTATTTGTCTTCTGTTTTTACCTGAGATGCTAACCCAGAGTGACACAGCAACCTCTTCTAAAACTAGGCATACAAAAACAAGCATAGCGTCTTTTTCTGCCTGCCTGCCTTCTCCACCCCAATCCCATTTACTGTCACCATCAGCAGTATTGCTAGTGCTGCTACACACACACACACACCATTCGATTTTCTTCTCCCCCATCCCCCCGCTTGCAGCCACCAAAAAAAGGCCTCTTCTTCTTTCTTTCCTATTCAGAAAGGGAAACAAGTGCTCTCGGTTGACAATCTTCAAGTCTCTATGTTGTATATGTGGTGGGGCGGGGAAGGAAGCACAAAGAGCTACTACCATTTCCACTAAATTTCACTGCAAACCTCAGCAGCTAAGTATCGGTGCAGCTCCCAATGGGTGTGGGAAGGGTCCAGTGACATCAGAAATTCACCTGCCTCTTTCCTAAGCTATGCAACACAACATAGCAATTGTGTCTTAGAACAAAAGCCACATTAGGCTTCCATAAAACTTACTGCTGGAGATGGGCATGAACCACAGGTTTGGTGCTGCCTCTGAGTGGCCATCAGCTGAAAGAGGTGAGGCTGGGAAACACCAAACACATGTTAGGCCGATAAACAAACCAACACATATCAACAAACTGGTGGTTCATGCCGATCTCTACTTACTGCTTAAAAGACCAAGTAATACAGACTATGCTTCCTCAACCTGACACCATCCAAATGTTATAGACTACAGCTTCCATTGACCCAGCTATGATGCCAAAGAGTTTGAGGTACATATATGGGATATCTAGTCCTAAATATCTGAAAAAATGACTTGGCTAGGGGAGGCTTGGATCTGGCGCCCTCTAGACATAATGGACCAGAACGTCCATCGTCCCCAGTGAATTTGCCCATTGACATCTCACATATCTGGAGGTATGTGCCTGAGATAATAGCATGTTAGAGGACATGTATGCCTTTTCCACATTTTTCTGCATTCCCATTCTTTTCTTCCACAATTTGAAGCAGAAATGCCTGTAACGAGAAGCTCAGATTTTAGGGACCAACAGCAAAGACGAGGAGCCACCACCAGTACCAACACCCTCCCCTTCAAGACCTGCAGAGAGAAATGAGCCTCACTAAATAAACCGTCTCATTTGGAGGAAAACTGAAGACAGCAGATGTTGCTAATCTGATGAGGATTCAGAAGCAGTGTGTTTTTATGTAATTCCTTCCAGTCTGGGTTTATTTTATCACAAATAAAACTTGTTAGTTTTAAGGTGTTGTGAGATTGGCCAACAGGTGGAAGCAATAGACTTGGGGAGATGCCTACTAAAAAGGCAGTCTTTAAGGTAACCTGCTTCTAGAACATTTGCAACTTTAGATTTTAAAGAGATTGCTTTTGATCGGGCCCATTCAGCTGACAAGGCCTAGGCATGATGAGTTCTAAATGCTCTGTCCCATAAAGAATTATGTGGCCCTATTCTACAGGGTTCAAGCCCCTTTTAAAGGCAACCCTCCATTCTTCAAGTGCAACATACTAGTATATGTGGATAATTTTGGCCAAGCCAGTTTGTGAGTGTTCTGGCTGAACAGATAGCTTCAAGTCTCTATGTTGTATATGTGGCGGGGCGGGGAAGGATGCACAAAGAGTTGGGTAGAGAGCCTACCCTGACCTCTGGGTCAGGAGCAAAATTCACCACTGTGATTCCTAGGAGAAGAGCTAGCAGGTGTAACCTTGGGCAAGCTGCTCAGTCCCTGAAGAATGGAATAGCTACTGACTTCTGAGTACTCTAAAAGAAAACCATGGCAACGGGCACCATAAATTGGAATTTGACCGCTTTTGTTTATTATTCAGCCAACACTGATTTTCAAAGGTTTAATTTTAAGCTGTGGAAATCACTTGACTCGCTAATGAGTCTTGCCTCTATAGCATCTCCCTTGTATGGCATAACTGATCTTTTCAGGCAATTTATGGGAGGTGGTCCCAGGGCCAGTCTTCTATTTGAAAGGGGTTCAGAAAGTGCACTCTATAAAGGATAGGGTTACGGACATCAGGAGTGGCAATTCAGTGTAATTCCACTCCGTTTGGACTTTTTATATCTGGTACCCAAGTATACATATCGACTTTGGAGTAAACCCACAGTCCACTAGTTTCCTGGTAAGAAAGCATTGCTCAGTTACATGCAACAGCTTACTGTCCACATGGAATAAACTCCACAAATACATCCTCCCTCCACATTCAGACCTCCTCCTAGAGTGTGGAAGCCACCAGCCTTCTCTGTGTTGTCAAAAACCCACACGGGCTGGAAGGTGCCCCAGTCTTGCCCTAAGAACTGGATGTGGAGCTTCCCACCATTCTAGAACGAGGCTCCCTCCACATGGTTGCCCAAGGTGATCTAGAGCAGCCATTCTCAATGGGAGCCATATGGAGAACCCTGGCACATTTGAAGGGGGCCACAGACTGGAAACAATTATGGACGCATCACCTTATAAGGTTAATTATGCAACTTACACAATCCTGATTCGGCCTATATTTCTTTCATCTTGTGTTTATGGCTGTGGCCAAAAAAATATTTTTTTTGAGAGAGCAGCTAATCTAGACACAGTAGTTCTCAAACTTGGGTCCCCAGACTTGTGCTGGCCAGAATTTCTGGGAGTTGGACTGCAGCTTCCAGAAATCCTGGCCAGCACAGCAAGTGGTGAAGGATTCTGGGAAATGCAGCCCAAAAACATCTGGGGACCCCACTTTGAGAACCATTGATCTAGAGCACTGGTTCTTAACCTTGGGTTACTCAGGAGTTTGGGACTGCAACTCCCAGAAGCCTTCACCACCAGCTGTCTTGACTGGGGTTTCTGGGAGTTGCAGTTCAAAAGCATCCGAGTAACAAAGGTTAAGAACCACTGATCTAGAGCAATGATTTCCAGCCTTTAGTAACCCAGGTGTTCATGGAGAACAGCTCCCAGAAACCCTGGGCAGAATAGCTAGCAGTGAAGGCTTCTGGGAATTGCAGTCCAAGAACAACTTTGGTAAGTTGGAAATCTTGAGAGCTCTGTTCAGCCCAGGAAGCCTTAGTTTATTTACAGAGGAGAATTCTTATAACAAGGGCATTCCTTTTACAATGCCAGATATTTGGCCAATAGATTTAATTTATATTTATGTAGTATATGCACACATATTTGTATTGCTCACTCTTCAATTTGTATTCAGCATTTCCAATGCAATCTGTTGTGAATATATAAACACATTTACATTCATTTTGTCATTCTTTTTTTTGGCTTTGTAATCGTTTTCAAGCCTGGGTGGAGTAGACAATGTGGAGTAGACAATTGTGGCAATAGAAATTACCACAATTTTAAATGCATATGTATCAGTAAATTATGGACCTCAACGTTAAGCGTTTATTACTATTATTTTGTTTCCTTGACACTGCTGACTGAATTATGTTTAGGAATAATTGTCAGAGGTTCTGTTTAGGATTCTTGGCTTTGGGGGCCCTGTTTCATTTCATCATTAACCAGGTGTTGGAAAATGAATCAATTATAAAAATAAATCCTAAAGGACCAGCCTCCAGCATGCTCTGCCCCTTCCCATTCACTCTCCATTCCCGAGTCCAGTTCCATAAACTTTATTTAAATACTGGATATACTGGGTTGTTTTTTTAAAGAAATGAAAGTACATATAAGTAAGTCCATATGTTCATTTAATCAAGTTTCTTTGCCAGTCAGTATTGCTGGGGAAAACATAACCTGTCTCCTTTAACATTTGCAACACATCACTGGCTGTTTTCATTGGAGTTCTGTTTACAATCTCATCTGCTGTCTGTAATTTATGTGACTGGGAGGGAACTATTCAGTACTAACCAATCATTCCTTCCAGACTTTGACATGAAACACAGTTCTGCCTCTCTGCTGAGAATTCTTTTTCTCTCTCTTTAGTTTGTTGGTGAGAGTTGTTTGTTAGCTGTTGATCTGTTTGATTGGTTGTTAATATGTTTGCATATTAAAGAATCAGTATCATCGAAGCTACCAACATGAATTTGACCAAACTCCGGGAGGCAGTGGAAGACAGGAGGGCCTGGCGTGCTCTGGTCCATGGGGTCACAAAGAGTTGGATAGGACTTAATGACCAAACAACAACAACAGTATTAAAGAAAGTAGCATGCAGAAGTCTGTAATTTCGAGTGACTGCACATGAAATGTTTCTTTCTCCTACAGATGTCTCAGAGTGGTTTATTGAGACTTCAAGTGTCAGTTAGTGAAAAAGGAGTGTTCTCCAGGGCACTTGCAACTATTGGAACTCTGTATTGCCATGGTGTTGCAAAAAAAGTTATACCAGAAATTCAAAAATCTGCAAAAGTTTTTAAACATACTTTTTGCATGGAAAAACATTGCATGACAAGGGGCTTGGGATAATGTGCATTTACTTACCTGTTTTTTAAAAGAGAAACATCTGGGTATGGATGGGCAAACACGAGGGGTGTAAAGTTAAAGTTTGCTTGTTTGGAAGCAAAGCCCAGTTTATGTAATGGATCAGCATGAATCGTGAGTTAGTAAATCAAGCTGAAAGTCAATATACCTGGCAAATTGTCTGCTTGTGTGGTTCCATGCAAGGGTGACCAAATGTCCTCTTTTAGGAAAGACATTCCTTTCTTTGAAAGACTGCCAGAAGACATCCCTTCTTCCAAAGGTGTCCTGTATTTGAAGGAATGTTCAGGACAGGTTTAGCCTTGTGCATGTTTAGCCTTGAGAAAAGAAGACAGGGGAGATATGATAGCACCTTCCAAATACTTGAAAGGTAGTCATACAAAGGAGGGAGAGGATCTATTCATGATTATCCCAGAGTGCAGGACACACAGCAATGGGCTCAAGCTACAAGAAGACAGATTTATCGTGGAAAAAAACTTTTTAACTGTTAGAGTACTATGACAATGGAACCAATTACATTGGGAGGTGGTGAACACTCCATCACTGGAGGCATTCAAGAGAAAAATAGACAGCCATCTGTTAGATCTGCTTTGATTTGGATTCCTGCATTGAGCAGGGAGTTGGACTCAATGGCCTTATAGGCTCCTTTCAACTCAATTGTTCTATGATTCTATGATTTGCAGGTAAAGCACCAGAAGGAGAGACATGAGGGACTTGAAACTTAACAACAGACTAACATCCTAACTTGCATTTATACATGTAAGTTAATATATGTACTTTTATACAAATAAATTATTTGTCTATCCTCTTTTTTTGATGATGTGTCCATCTCTTATATGTTTTCTAGTGAGAAAAAATGGCTTGGCAGTGGCATATGCATGGTACGAAGGAAGGAAGGAAGGAAGGAAGGAAGGAAGGAAGGAAGGAAGGAAGGACGGACGGACGGACGGAAGGACGGAAGGACGGAAGGACGGAAGGAAGCCATTTTCTTAGCTGGTTTGCCTAGGCTAAAAGAGGTTTGTCTTCATCAAAATCTGTTTTTGAGGCAGTTGAAATTTTGATTCCTTCACCCTGACAGTGTCTGGAGACCAGCAAAGCAGCATAGAGGAAGGAGAAAACTCTTCCCCACATCATAGCTCTTGTGACAAATTTCTCAAGGGAACCTCACAGAAATTAATGATTCAGCATCTCTAGAGTTCAGTCTATGTGCTTTTGTGTGCTGAGTTTTTCAACCGATTAAAGTCATTTCATTAATGAAAATAGGAGTAAACCTACTGACCAGCAGACAAAAGTCCACAATACATAAAATATATAGCCACACTTTATATGTCTAGACCAAATCCAGTGATATTTCTACACAGAGCGAAACTATTTAGGACAATTTGACACAGGTAGCTGCAACGAATAAATCAATGGAAAGCATTAAGATTGCATTAGCCCATGCATGGGGGGGGGGCTCCCATGGGGCTGTCTGCTCTCACCCCGAAGCCCCAAGGGAGCCTAGGGGAAGGAAGTGAGTCTCCCAGGCCCCTGGCAGGGAGAAAGGAGCCACAATGGCTGGCAGAAGGGAAGCAGCCTGATGAAGGACGCCTGGAGGAGGAAGCTACAAGAGGGCTGAAGCTAGAGGCCTTGGGGCCTTCCATGGAGGAAGAAGAGGAGACATCGGGAGATGCCGTGGAGGAAAGGGATCCCATCTTCCATGCCTCTGGGGAGGTACAGGGCTGGGTGGAGGATCCCCAGAGCAGCATTCTAACCCATCTGGCTATGGAAGAGGCCAGGGATCCAAGGTCCCTTCATTGCTGCCAACCGTGAGCCCCACCACCACCTCAACCTTGGCATCCTTCCTGCTCTATGGGAGCCACCACACCCACCCTGACCCAATTCCAGTACCGGAGGCGCAAGTGTCAGTGAGAGCAGCAGAATGGACAGTGGCTGCAAGTTCTGCTAAACCAAGAAAAGCTGTTGTGGTTTAAACACTGGAACCCATGGAGTTATTGTCCATGAACCTCATGGTTACCAGGCTGCTGGGAGGCCGGGGCCAATGACACTCACAATATGTTTGTTGTCTGAATAGCATTTGTTGGTTTGTAGATCCTAGGATGTATCTACATGAAGAGGTAGACACTAGGATAACCATGTGTCCTATTATACAGAACAGAGACCTCTATTTTAAATGCTGCCAAACAACAGCCCTTTACTTGGAAGAGTTTTATATTTGAAAGGCTCTCCAAAACGAGGACCAGAGATTGTGAAAACATATAATTCATCTGGTCCCAGTCTTAACAATGGCCAGTCATTAAACAGAAGACAATTGCATGCTGCGACAAACAGACATCTTTTCACCACTCAAGGGAACACCCCTTCTAATAATGTGTTAAACATGCCATCTAGTTTGAGAAAGAGAAGGTATGCAGACAATATAGATCTCCAGAGGTTTGTCTGCTTACATTTCCCATTAGCTCTTGTGAGTGATGTGGGATTATGCGAGTGGCAGCACAAAAGCATCTGAAATGCCTCTGTTGCCCACCTTGTTATATTTAGGGTAGACCCCCTGAAATCAATCTGATTTAAATGAGTTGTGTCATTAAGAATACCAATCTGGATGCAAACCTAAGTGCGAGGATGCACTAAAAGGAATGGTTGGTGTACCAAAGGAAGCAATTCATTAAGTAATTAAATGCTTCTATGAATTTATAGCATCAGCACAGAAAACACATACTGTAATAGTTTTCTGGAGTCATCCATCTGGCAATTCATTTCCTCTGAGGACAAGCCATTTTGCTTGAGCTCTGCTTCAGATGGGACAGGATCATTCAATTATAGCCAGGGTGGACCACCCAGCAGGATTACCTGCCATGGTAGACAGCTGCCTTTTCCATCTCCTGGCTCTGAACTTGTTTCTTTTCAATGAAGAGGCACTGCATTGTCAGGATGGGAAATATAGGTGATGCCTGAGCCTCTTTTTTTTCCCCTCCGGGATCCATCAGGGCTGCACCTATCCGGAAAATGAGCAAATGGAGAATCCACACTGATGACGGGTAGAGAGACACTTCTAGTTTCATTTTTAGGGGACCTATCCTTTCCCATTCTTTTGCAAACAAAATACTATTCCTAGAGGATTTCAAGAAAGGAAAATCATGACAATTTTTAATAGATTTGTTTCAATTGGCAGGGGACATTCAGGGAAAACAAGGGCAGCCTTGTAGCTGCCAGGCTGCCCTTTGCCCATCGTTAAATGAAGTCCAGGGGGCAGTACATGCTCACCCACACCTCTCGGGCCAGACTGTGACCATGCCTTTATGTGCCACCTTCTTTAAGCTTCTCTGCCCCTGTGAGCACAACACGTATCTTCTACAAAGGCTATAGTGGACTATTTTAGAAGCCATGATCAGCATTCCTTACTTTTATTGAAGCACTACATCTTTTCATGGCCCCTGCCTGTATCTTTGGTCCTCATCTCACTGGCTCTGTGAGTGTTTCCAGATGGGCAACAGTTAATGCTCCCCATCAAAAGACCTTGTGCAGCTGTTCAGGCTTTTCCTCCTGGGTGGATTTTCATTTTGTATTCGTGAAGGCTTTCACGGCCGGGATCTAATGGTTGTTGTGGGTTTTTCGGGCTCTTTGGCTGTGTTCTGAAGGTTGTTCTTCCTAACGTTTTGCCAGTCTCTGTGGCCGGCATCTTCAGAGGACAGCACTCCGTACTCTGGTGTAGTTGGCTTGGGAGTGCAGTATTTATGGCTGTGAAATAGGCTTTTGTCTTTTTCTGTAGATAGGTGATTAGTGTGTCTTGTTGTGGGGGTATTGTTGTGCTAAGGAGAAGAGATTGTCTGTCCTCTGAAGATGCCAGCCACAGAGGCTGGCAAAACGTTAGGAAGAACAACCTTCAGAACAACTATTTTTTTTATTTTATTTTATTCCTTTTTTGGGGGGGTGGGGAGGCTTGGGCAAAAAAAAAAAAAGGAAGAAGCATTAAAAAACAGAAAAGTTACAAGCTGAAGGTGTCACCACTGTCCGTTCCTGCAAAACATTGGGAACGAGAATGGGCTAATATACTATAAAAGCCTTGCTGGAAATAGAGTTTGGAGGCAACGTCGTGCCAAAGTTCCAATTTCCAACTCTGCACTACTTTATTTAGAGCAGAACTAAATGATACAAAAAGCTCACCATTATATTCAAAGCTCCTTAAGTGGTGGAAAACATCTGTTTAATATGAGTCTGCCTTAATCTACATGTTGCAAATTAATTTGCTTTTGCTTTGAGATTTTTCAAAGTAAAGGAGAGTAAACCTGGAATTCACAGGTATGGAGCTTGGAAGAAATGGTGTGTCTGGAGCGAAAACATTGTAATAGCAGGAATGAGACATATCCCTTAATGTGTGATTTGACCCTTACATTGCCTGTTAACATAGATCCAAAGGGTCCCTTCCAGCTCTGCACTTCTAGATTAGGGTGAGGAAGAAGGAGATCCACTCATTTTATGTCCCCCAGCAGGATCTACCTTTGGTCACCTGTTAGCCAGCCTGTCCTTCTCTTCCCCCCCTGAACTTAATTTGATCAGATGCTCCCTCCCTTATCAAGTTCTTGTTATACCCTAAGGATCCTAGCTGCCTTATAGTCTATGTACAATGGCTGAGACAACTTTCCACCTTCACTGTGCTTGCAGATGTGCCTTATACTCAAGCAGGGTCAGCTTCCAAAAGAATCTTGATAATAAGGCTAGGTCAGCCTAAGATATTTTGCCACCCAGAGAGGGCAGCACATAGAGGCCAATAAAGCCATGTGGTTCTTACACAATACAAAATCAATGGGAGATGATATGTTTATTGTTGTTGTTGTTTAGTCATTTAGTTGTGTCCAACTCTTCATGACCCCATGGACCAGAGCACGCCAGGCCCTCCTGTCTTCCACTGCCTCCCACAGTGGGGTCAAATTCATGTTGGTCGCTTCAATGACACTGCCCAACCATCTCATCCTCTATTGTCCCCTTTTCCTCCTGCCTTCACACTTTTCTAACATCAGCGTCTTTTCCAGGGAGCCTTCTCTTCTCATGAGATGGCCAAAGTATTGGAGCCTCAGCTTCAGAATCTTTCCTTCCAGTGAGCACTCAGGCTTGATTTCCTTCAGAATGGATAGGTTTGTTCTCCTTGCAGGCCAGGGGACTCTCAAGAGCCTCCTCCAGCACCACAGTTCAAAAGCATCAATTCTTCGGCGGTCAGCTTTCTTTATGGTCCATCACATAAAGAAAGTACATCACTACAGGAAAAACCATAGCTTTGACTATTCGGACTTTTGTTGGCAAGGTGATGTCTCTGCTTTTTAAGATGCTGTCGAGGTTTGTCATTGCTTTCCTCCCAAGAAGCAGGCGTCTTTTAATTTCGTGGCTGCTATCACCATCTGCAGTGATCATGGAGCCCAAGAAAGTAAAATCTGTCACTGCCTCCGTATCTTCCCCTTCTATTTGCCAGGAGGTGCTGGGACCAGTGGCCATGATCTTAGTTTTTTTGATGTTGAGCTTCAGACCGTTTTTTGCACTCTCCTCTTTCACCATCATTACAAGGTTCCTTAATTCCTCCTCACTTTCTGCCATCAGAGTGGTAACATCTGCATATCGGAGGTTGTTGATATTTCTTCCGGCAATCTTAATTCTGGCTTGGGATTCCTCCAGTCCGGCCTTTCGCATGATGTATTCTGCATATAAGTTACAAGATATGTTTTTCAGAACACTAAAAAAGGAGGGTGTGTGCAAAAAAATGCTAGGTTTTGACCCATACTGGTCTTCATCAGGCTGTGCACCAATTGTGAATAGTGCAGAAAAAGGAGAATGACATTTGAAAATAGTCATAACTGAACAGTGGTAGCCTGGTGGCCATATCTGGGTTCCATCAGAAGCACAAGCAGGTTCAGAGACCCAGCACTGTAGACCACCAGAAGAGGGCATGATTTAGTTCGGTTGGCTGCAGTGCTCAAATTATGGGGAACCCAGCCCTCTCACCATTTGTGACTACCTTACTAGCAGCTGGTGTTTGTTTGCTTACTCCCCTATACTGGAGGGGTGAGTGCTGGATTTCATCATCGATCTCTCCTTTACTGTACTGTATTTTCAATTATTCCTATACTGTCCACAATCAAATCAGATTCCAGGACAGCGTACAATATAAATGACAAATCACTTGAGGCCTCTCACAGAGTACTATGAAATGCTAACAACAGATAGCCATAATAAAAGACAGCAAATAAAAATTGCAAGCCTTCCCTCCCACCCCGATGTGAACATGGATCCTTTCCCACATGTGGTTCTAAGAGCATTTAAAACACAGAGGGGGGGGGAGCCCTCTCTCTTGCCTCACAAACATGGCAATGGGTTAAGGAACACCAGTTCCAGAAGAAGGATTAAACCATTCCCCCCACTGTTGGCTTGAGATGCTGGCTTGAGCTGTTCCCAGTTGGATGCTGCTTTAAGTCTGTTTTTCATCTCACGTGTGTTCTCCAAGGACTCCTTTTCGAAGAGAACAATGTAAACCTTGTTACTGCACCTTTGCTTTGGGCTGCATTCGTCGCATTAGGAAGCCAATTCACTACCGATTTGCTCCCAAGTAGTCCTATCAAAAATCAATGCAGTTGTCAATTGTGACCTGAGAATTGTGACTTGCTGTTCAGATTTTTTTTTAACCAGCTTGTAATCATTGCCTTTATCCAGTGCACCTTGCTGAGCAAAACTGTATCTCTTCCTACCATCACATTTCATGTGGGGGGAAAAACGCGATTAAATTCTATACAGAAACAAGGCAAACTGTGGGTACCCTGAGATATGTGGGTAAAAAGGGGTGTCATCATATCTGCAAGCCTGTATTTATGTGTTGTTTAAAAAATGAGAGAGCGAAGAAAGGAGATATAATTCTCTGGGGCATGCCATCAGAGCAAGTGGAGTAATAAACAAACGGTTCTTACTTACTTGACTGGGACATGATTATAGATGAGTGAAGCAAGCAGAGAGAACTTGGAGCCATTACCTTCTGGACTGCAATGTCCACCAGAATCCATCAGCCGGCATTTCTTCTTCCCACACCACACCCCTCTGAGATACACAAATATAGAAGGCAAGCCAAGGGCATTTTGCTGCCTAAGGGCCAAATAGCACCCCCTCCCATTCCATGTACAAAGCTGATTCCAGAACTTGTGAGGGGACCACAGTCTCCTCCACCCTCTGAAACTTGGTGAAGGTCCGCTCCCTATACTCCTCCTCCTCAGTGCAGTGGTAGGACCAGCCAGGCATCTGCAGAGAGGAAAAAAACCAGATTTATTAGTTTGTGACCTTGTGCCACAGGGAAAGCCCCTTTTAAGCAGGAGAGGGCCCCCAGCCCATAATGGTTGAATGGGGCCCTCCTATTTTCTTTTAGTCCAGACTTTGTATTTGTTACAACAGAAAATGAACACCATGTGGTATTTCTTTGCAAATCAAGAACTTCTCGAAGCCAAAAACAGACATGTGTGCACACCCTCCAACTACCACAATTTTGGCTCAGTGTTTACAGTGTGCGTCTACATATAGGATGACAGAGCCCCCTCGATGAGAACAGCACTTGAGCAAAATAAATTGGTGCAAAGTTCTACAGTTAACTGCTACTTAAATATTAGTAACAATGTGCTTTAAAAATCTAACCCTTCCTCTAAGATAGTTGGAATTTTATTTATTTATTTATTCATTCGATTTATACCCCGCCCCCCTAGACAGCGTCTACTGTCTACCTGCCTTATTCCATGTTATACTTATTACAAATTCTTTGAGGTGGAAGGAGATAAGATTCCCCCACTGGGTCAGACTAAAAGGCTTTTAGAGACCAAAGGTCATCTAGTCTAATGCCTTCTTGCTTTCCACAATGGCTAATCACATGCCGATGGAAAACCATGAGAGCAGTAATAGCCTCCCTCAACGGCTGTTCTCCAGTGATGCAGCATTTATAGTCATCATCCCTGATGGCCTTATTCTCAATGAATTGGTCTAATCCTCCTATTACAGCTGTTCCAGAATCTGAAGCAAGCATATTCCCACAATTTAGTGAAAG